TAAATAGAAGAATCTCCAAAAAAAAAAGTTGATTAATAAATCTAAATGGCTTAAAAAAATACAACATTAATTACAGATAGACCTACAATATAGTATGGAAAGACCACAATAAAAAAAAATTATAATCTTCTTGGCAATTGAAGCATAAAGCCCCTACATCAAGGTGTACTCTCCATATCCTTTTAAAATTAATAATGAAAAAGTATATCCATTTTAAATAAATTCTACATTTATATTAACTTCTTTAAAATGAATTTCACACAAGTCAAACGGGTAGCATAACCTAGGATTTTTTTTGGGTAAATCAGTGGGGGAAAATGCCCCCTACCCAATTTTTCATTGATAGAAAATGGATAACACGTTATTATACAACCTTAATAAAAGAAGAGAGAAAAATTCAGGCAGACGACTACCCCAAATTGTAGCACAACATCGTTCCAATACAAATTTGATACATTACACTGCTATTAAATTAATTAAAATCTAAATATAGATCATATAAAACCCATTTCGACTTCTACATTTAAACCTTATAATAAAACAATATGTCGACTTTAAATGAATTCTACATTTATGTTAATTTTTTTAAGAAGTTGTGGGTAATACAAATTAATGCCACCATAAAAACGACGCATTTAAGTACTCTAGGTAATAGTTTACTTAAGATTATTACTTCTTTAAACTAATTTAAAACATGGCGAGTGGGTAGCACAACATAGTGTCACCACTAAAAGACACGTTCCACTATTCTAAATAGTACTTTGCATTAATATTAATTGAATGTTAACTTTGAATCTTATTCAATTATTTATACATTTACAAGCATAATATCAATTTATCAGTCAAATTATAAAATTTTACTTTTTAAGTTTCATTGTTCTAATTCAATAAGTCTCGTCGATCATTCTTACATGTTTTTACAGTGGAAAATTATTACTATTATTTTTCACTACATATGTCTAAAGCTACTTAGCATTGACATCTAAACTCATCCCATAAGTTAAGCTGACAACACAATATATCACCACAACCAACATATCTCAGGATATCCTATAATTTTTACTCCAAAATTACATCTTATGATAAAATTCAATGGTGCAAGTTGCAACCTTATATAAACCACACCCTTAGAAAAAACCTTCTCATTTATTTTAAAAGAATTCAAATCGCGTGCGAAGCACGTGATTTCCACTAGTTCTTATAATTGTCACAAGATAATATTAAATTGGTTGGTATGTTTTTCTTTAAATGTATAGTTGTTAAAAATTATGGCTCAATGGGTATGTGTGGCTAGTGTATGTGGATTTATTACAGTATGTGGTTCAATTTGTATGCGTGCATGCAAATCCATAATTATTGCATGTTATGGTTGAATCGGGCTATATGACCTTTGAATATATGGTTGTTACTGGATAATCTTAAATAGGTTGCTTTCCTTGTGTATGCTAAGTGCCACAAAGCTGTGGTTAAATGGACATGTGTGGATTGTAAATGTAAGATTTTTACAATACATTGTTAAATATGTACGCATGCTTGTGAAAGTGTAATTATTACAGATTATGGTTGAATCGGGCAACATGGCTTGTGAATGTATAATTGTCACATGATAATATTAAATTGGTATATTTTGCCTTTGAATTTGAAATTGTTCCAGGTTATGGATCAATGGTTATGTGTGGATGGCATATGTGAATTTGTTGCGTGTAGTTTAATGCTATGTAAGCTTGGAAATGTGTAATTATTAAAGTCATGATTGAATAGGGTTGTATGGCCATGGAATTTATGATTGTTATATAATAATTTAAATTGTTACATGATAATATTGTTACATGATAATTTTAAATCATAATCACTGCTTGTGTATGTTAATTGTCACCAATTATGGTTAAATGGGCATGTGTGGCCTCTGAATATGATTTTGTTATAATGTGTCCTTGAATATATGGGAATGCTTAAGCATGTGTAATTATTACTGGTTATGGTGCAAGGACATTTAACCATATAATGTACACATTCATATAAATTATTTGACATTCACAAGCCATGCACCCCCATTCAACCGTAAACTATAATAATTGCACATCTGCAAGCATGCATACATATTCAATCACACGTTGTACACATTCACATAGATCAGCAACATATTCTTGTTGAACCATCAACTGTAATAATTACACATTCAAAAGCAAATCATACCAATCTAAGCTTATCATGTGACATCATACATTCACAAGCCTTGCAACTCCATTGGCGCAGGGAAGATGGCATGAAGATTAGAAAGAAATAATAAATCAAAAAATGTAAAAGTAATAATAGAGGGATGAGATAATATACCTTTTTTCAGGTTCTGGAACGGGATCTAACCCAAATATCTCTTTACAATATCTAAAAACAATTTCTTTTTTATCAAAATAACCAAGTTCTATAAAAAATGACGTCATTTATTGAGAAAGAGATATTTAAAGGAGATATATCTCATAAAATTGACAAAGATGATATGGAAAAGAGATAAAATTGAGAGAAAATCAAAAGGGGAATTGAGATAATATGAAAATTGAGATATTTTAGGAGAAAAACGAGAGGGAGCTCACATATGAAATAGACATACTCAGAAAATTTCAAATAGTTATCTTAGAGAAAATCAATGGCATATCACAGTTGAGATTGAGAAGTTTTAGAAAACCTGATTTCTCTCTCTCTTACCTCTCTCTTTACAAAATCATCTCTCTCTCTTTCTCTGTCTCTTCTCCACCGACCTCCCACCTTAAAAAAATATTTAATTTTTATTTCTCTCCCTAGTTTAAGATAATAATAGGGCCCTAATATTTATTTGAACTACTATATATCTCTATTACTCTAAATCTTATTCCATCATATAGAGGGTTGTATGAAACAAGCAGTGGAAGATACATCTCTGTCCCAACCCACCCAAACAACCATCTTCAACCTTTTCTCTTCTGTCTTCTATACTTTCTCCCCAACTGCACCCCACCACCTTCCTCGAATCCTTTATCTCTCATCGCTATTTTAAATTCCTCACCAAATCCGACCTGCTCTTGATTCCTCAATTCCTTAACCAAACACCATAGCACACACGTTGGCCACAAACACCTACCCATGGATGCACCCATAAAAGCATGGTCTTGGCGAGTTAGATCAATCAAGATATATTATAGCTTTTTCTTTAGTTTTTTGTTTTTTCTTTAGTTTTTTTTCTAAGGTATCTAATCCGCATGCAAGGGTGAATAAAGTTTTTCATAAGAATGCGCTAGGGGGTACTTGGAACATGCAATGCCTGTATATAGAATGATAGACATTGTCATCTCTCAATTGATCAAACTTTTAAATTCCTTGCAAGAGACATATGTCTCGAGAAAGGCGGGTGATGAGGTGGTCTGGGAGGAGGAAAGTGATGGAGTCTTTTCGGTTAAATGAGTATATAGACCGTTATTCTATGATCGGTTAAGATGGAATGAAAGGAGACTTCATAAGATTTGGAGATAGGCTATTCCTAATAAGGTCAAGATTTTTCTTTGCATCTTATGTCAAGGCAAAACTCTTACTATGGATAATCTACGAAGAAGGGGTAAAATTGTGAGGAATATTTGCTTGTTGTGCAAAAATAATGTGGAAATTAGGGATTATCTTTTCCTACATTGACCTCTCACTAGTAGACTATGGACATGGGCTTTTTCTTTAATAGGACATCATTTGATTTTACCACAAGGCTATATGCTTATCCTAGAACATCTGTGTATTTCAAGAGTTCCAAAGAGCTGGCAAGTTATTTGGAAACTTTTTGGAGGAGCCTTGCTTTGGGAGGTATGGTTGGATTGAAATAGAACTTTTAAAGGAAAAGCATTACCTATTCAACAAATCCAAGATAATATTATGCATTTAGTGTGGTCATGATTCTCAATAACAAAGGAGGATGATGGAGTGTCAAAGGTTGATTAATAGAAACCAGAGG